CCGGCGGGGGCAGCGGGGCGGTGGCGGCGCCGGGCTCCGGGCGGTGAGCGGGAGGGAGGCGCGGCCGCCAGGCTGGGCTCCGGCTGGGACTCGGCTGCATTTGCCCCGCCGCCGGGGTCCCGCCTCCCCCCGCCCCGAGGCCCGCCCCGCGGCCCGCCCCCGCCGTATTCCTCCGAGCCGCGGGACACTCACTTCCGCCCCGGCGCCCCCAGCTCGCCTCCACCGCCCCTTCAGTTCGCCCTCGGTAACCGGCCCAGCCCCGCCGTCCCTCCCTGGACCCCTGTCCCAACCTCCTACCGCCTCTCAGCCCCTGGAAGCTGAACCCAACGGCAGCCCTCAGCCCCCAAATCTCAACCCTTAACTCCTTCGGGAATGACATGCGCGCGCGCACACACACACGTTGTTCCCCTATCCCTATACGACTCCCTGGTCCCTCCAAGCCCAGCCTCCCCGAGACCTCAGCGGTACCCCGCACCCTCCTCACACACTCGGGTACCCGCTACAGCGCCTCCAACTCCAGAGGTCTGCTCCCCTAGCAGTCTGCCAGCCTCTCCCTCCCCTGGCCTCCACTCCACCCTGGAAACACCCAATACTCCCATTCTATGTCCCCCCTGAGACTTCGGCCTTAAGTCCAAACCCCATTCCTCTCGGTCACCCCCCCCCCCCCTCCCTGCAGCACACACACTCACCTCGCTGCCCCTCATCCCATCGCTGCCCTGCTGGAATCTTAACCCACAGGACTCCTCAGCTGTTCCAGGCAGGAATGGGGAAGTTCCCTAGGGCCTTCCCAGGGAGGGACTGTCTCACCCCTCTGGTTGTGATGTCTGCACCCCATTACACCCGTGGTTCTCTGGGTGTGCTTTCTGGGCTAGAGGAATCACCACCAGCATCACTCTGAAACGTATTAGAAATGCAACTTCCCCACCCCACTCCAGACCTATGAAATCAGAAACTCTCAGAGTAGCCCCCGGAAGGAAATCTGTGTTTTATCAAGCTCCCAGGTGATTCTGATGCACACTATCCCCTGCTTTCGACCCAATACACAAAATGAAACAAAAGTACGCACCTGAACAACCAAAACCCTGAGAAATGAAAACACCTCCAAGTCCAAGCCCAGGTGTCATCAGAGAGATAGGCCTAACACCTGGAGGGGCCAAGAATCACAGCACTCACCCATGGAGTCCCTGCCCCTGCCTCCAAGACGCCGGGCCTCAACCTTACCCAGGCTTGCCTGAGAGCTTCTTAGGGGGCTGCTTCCCTTCCCCTGAAAGTTTCCCTGGATAGTCATTGTGGTGCCCCCAGGACTCCCAGCAGCCTCCCACCCTGGGCCTCAGCTAAGCAGCCCCTCACTGCCAGGGGAGGAAGCAGCTGCACCGGTCCCTGCCGGCCAAGCTGGCCTGGGTCTTGACCTCCTGACCTCCCCATGCAGCTCCCAAACTTGACCCCACCTGCTTTGCTTCAAACCACAGCCCATAAAGCCCTCCAGCACTTGATCCATCACGGCAAACTGTGTTTGCCACCAGAAACCTCTGGAGAACTTTTGGCCAGCAACAACAACAAAAGAGTAGTCACAATAAGCAAGCATCTTCTCTAGAGCAGGGTTTCATAAAGAGCTTCTTTCTCTCATCTCCCCCAATGCAGTCTCCGTCTGCATTGTTGTTGCCTAAATTTTTTTCAATTAAATGTTTTATTTTGAGATATTTGAAGAGTCACGTGGTATTAGAAGCTACAATACAGAGAGATCCACGTACCTGTAGCCAGTTTCCCTCAATGGTGGCATTTGTGCCACAGCATCCCAATGCAGACACTGACATCGAAACAAGATACGGAACATTTCCATCAGCACCAAGCTCTCTCTCTCTCTCTCTCTCTCTCTCTCTCTCTCTCCTGTTGCCCTTTTATGGCCCCACCCACTTCCCTCCTGCTCTCACCCCTCCTTAACCAGCTCCTCCTCCCCCCACTGTCCCTGCCACCACCAATCTGTTTTCTATTCCTCTACTTTGGTCATTTCCAGACTGTTCTACAATTAGAATCATAAGTATATAA